TATGTGTTTGCAGTACACAAGCCACGGTTAAGACTGCTGACTCCACTGATCTCTCTCTCACACACACACACGCGGGCGTTTTAGGGGGGTGTGGCAGAGTCTTAACTTTGATAAAGAATATCTCTTTGGTTTTGAACTTTAGTCTTTGCAACTTCAGGGATCTTATCTATGCACAATCAGCTTGTAACACTCCAAAGAGAAAGGAAAACTTGAAATCGCATCATATGACCCCTTTAATGTTCTTCGTCTTTCATTCCTGTGACAGGCAGCCCAGAGAAAATTTAAGAGTTAAATGCCAGATCGAGTTTACTGTGTAACTAAAATAGCATTAGCTGGGGGGGGGCGCCAGGATTCTTATTTTAAAATGTCTACACCGTTTCGTATATTAATTATAGCTTTCATATAGGTTTCATGATCCTATTTTTAATTGGGACAAAGTCCCTCCTTCCGACAAGCGCAGTCTGCTCTGATTGGCCAGCTGACCCAGTGCATTGTGATTGGCCGAACACCGCAAGCACTCGTCGGAAATGTAACGCCCCTTTCCATAATCGCGAGCTTCATTTTTCAAAATAAATGTAAAGACAGAGCCCGAAAGGGAAACAGAGTCGCGTGACAGACACAGTGATGAAGCTGGTATGTGTTTGCAGTACACAAGCCACGGTTAAGACTGCTGACTCCACTGATCTCTCTCTCACACACACACACGCGGGCGTTTTAGGGGGGCGTGGCAGAGTCTTAACTTTGATAAAGAATATCTCTTTGGTTTTGAACTTTAGTCTTTGCAACTTCAGGGATCTTATCTATGCACAATCAGCTTGTAACACTCCAAAGAGAAAGGAAAACTTGAAATCGCATCATATGACCCCTTTAATGTTCTTCGTCTTTCGTTCCTGTGACAGGCAGCCCAGAGAAAATTTAAGAGTTAAATGCCAGATCGAGTTTACTGTGTAACTAAAATAGCATTAGCTAGGGGGGGAAAAAATTATGCATTTTTTTGGGACTTTTAATTATAAAAAAAGCCTGCGATGCACCAGGATTCTTATTTTAAAATGTCTACACCGTTTCGTATATTAATTATAGCTTTCATATAGGTTTCATGATCCTATTTTTAATTGGGATGTTTGTTGTACTATTTAAGACTTTTTAACGACCTTCAATTTAATAAAACTGAAGGATTAATCTATTTTTGGTCGCAAATACAATTATTATTATGACTTAAATTTGGTTCATGTATGGTAGATGTAAATTTGAGTCTGGCTCTACATTAATTAAAAAAAAAGTAAATTAACAGACACACTTTACATAGAATGATTTATTATAAAAGACTGTACAATTACATTTCAATTAACATATAAATACAAATTCTGAGCTGAGACGATCGTCAGCACAGATGGAATTCAGTTGGAAAACTTCAAATGTTTCATTATGACAAAAGTATCAAAGCATTAGCTTCAAACACCTGAAATGACTGACAGCGGTCAGACGTAGTTTAATGAAATCTCTGTAATCGCTTCTTAAGACTATGACCCCTAATGAGCCCAAAGAATGGAAATAGACTAAACCAATTAAAAAGGAGGAATTAATGCCAGACCTGAGTTGAGTAACTAGACCAGTTCAGAGTTCATGACTGTGATTCTGATACCACTCAGTTCATTGTTCAATGCACCAACCACGGTATTGGTACTGTAAAACCATGCGGCTATTACTTGTTACGGGACCATGGCACCAAAAAAAAAGTCGAGTCCAGCATTGCAAGATTTGTGATGTGTACTGATTAGAGACCTTGCAGACTAAATATTAAAGCTATGTATCTACACAGAATTCATGTTTGTTCATTGTAGCAAATACTTTAGTCATTGTGGCATTAACTAGAAAAATTAAAATCGGTGGAGAGACTGAGTTATTGGAAAAAATTATTAAAAAAGTTCTGTGCTTTGCATTCATTCCCCCCCCCCCCCAAAAAAATTTTTTTTTTTTTATATCAATATCAAACAAAAAATTAGAGCATAAAAACAACTCTACAAATGCCTATATATATATATAAAAAAAATGTGTACTGTAAATAATGCAAAGATGAAAGCAGAACCGAATTTAACGTTTAGTTTATAATATTACAATTTTGTATGCATGCTTCACGTTAAGATTTTGATTCATTCGGGGCAATGACGTGGTGCTTTAAGATAAAACACTTTTTTTTTGCATCCAAAATGTCCAAACAAATGTAAAAGCGGAGACGATCATCTACTTCACATGTTCACATGTGGTATTGACTGTCGAAGAACCTGTGATTGACATTCACTAGACATTTTATGTACACTGACTTCCTCTGAATAGTTGGTCATCCCGTTTGCCCACATCCACCCATCACCACAAAGTAAAGCTCATCGATTTTCATGATTCTCCATTTGTGAGGAGCAAACATTCAGCCGTGTGCTTGTGCACGGTTTCTACTGTGGTCTGATTGATCGGGTATGTATGGTGTTTAGGTCCGGTCCCTTCAGTCGGCGTAGTGCATGATGGACTCCACGTAGTTTCCAGGAAACAGACCAGTGAAGCCGTTGCAAACGCCCTCGAACCAGCCGTCGTCATTCTTCTTGATGATGTAGATGATGGCTCCTTCCATGAAGGTCAGTTCATCACCCTTATCCTTGGTGTAGTCGTAGATGGCAACCACTGCAAAGATGAATGAAAGTCATGGGAAATATCAGTTATTAAAACGATAAGCCACTTCAGACTGTGTGCTACATTAAGGGTGTTCTTAGGCAACAACAATATGATGAAAGACACTAATGTTCAATAAAGTTCTTTATTATTATTATTATTATTATGCCATTTTTTAATAGCATGTAACTATTATATTTTTATTGATATATGTATTATTAATATAAGAAGTACCATATGTTAATAACTAATCAAAAATCTTAATTATAAAAATAAAAAATATATAAATAATTAAAAAAACATGCTAATACATAAACTAATAATGGTTCATAGTACTAATAATTCAAATATATAATATACAATTTATATCATATAAATTACATAATTATTTCAATACATATATGTTGATAAATAAAATAAATGTCATAATAATAATTATACATTTAAAATGATGTTAATGGTAAATAGTAAAAATAATATATTTAATATGAAGTTCCATGTTAATAATAAAATGTCAAATATACAAATGTTAATACATAACAAAAATTAACAACATCAATAAAACTATAATATAAATAGTTATGTTAAGAAATAAAATAGTGTGTACATGTGTGTAAAGGGTAATAAAATAAATATAAAAATAATGATAAGCGATACAAACAAAGTTACATGTTATTAAATAAAGTTTTAAAAATATACGTATACAAACGTGCATGTGTGTAAATAAATGTTAATAAATAAAATAAATATATAAACAATGTTAAATAGAGCAACAACACCAAATAAAAATAAAACAATAAATATAAAAATATCATCGATAAAAATATGATATCAATTACTTTACTTTTATTAATTAAAATTTCAGTAGTTAAAAAGAACCTCACCTTTCTCAACGTAGGACTTGGGGGCCCAGTGAGGGTCTCCATCTGCATAAGGGTCACTGTACTGTACTACAGCTGCCTCTTCATCTTCATAGTCGACTGGTGGAGGCGGTGGCGGCGGAGGCGGAGCCTCGTCAAACATGGGCATGTCATCAGGGGGAGGGGGAGGGGGAGGAGTCGGGGGATCTGCAACTGACATCCAGCAAACAACACAGTCAGCTTCAGAGACACACAATACATCCATGGGCTCCGTGCTGGCGACTTGTGCTGGGCATGCGATCCGGCTGCTCATCATCAGACTAGTTAGTAGACATGCATGCACAGTGAATTTGCTCAAACACTCATGCCTGCTGGAGATACTGTGCCAAGTGCTGGTGTACATGCATCTCTCACACACACACACACACACACACACACACACACACACACATCTATGGATCTAGGGAGATCACTGTATATGTACGGAGCTATTCACAGATATGAAAACTTAGAGGATTTAAATGGAACAGAGTTGAATTCAATATCCAAAAGACAGCAATACTATGAAATCATTCCTCAGTAAACGACATAATACACAGTACACACTCAAACTAGAAAAAGGTGCTTGTGGGTCCGAGGAAAATTTGCATGAAGAAAAAAACAAAAAATCATAGAATCCTTAAAATTTTAAGTTTAACTAAACCTTTTTTTTTTTGTGGACAATATTAAATTTTTTTTTTCTTTTTTTCATGTTTTCATTTTATATTGCTTTCTAAAGTCTGGTGGGAAATCATGAGATTATTTTGTTCGACTGGCAGAAGAGTTATTATTAACTAAAACTATTAAAAATAGTTTTTCGTTAACAAAAAATGCTGAAATAGAACTATTAGATGAAAAAAATAAACTCAAATGAATTAGAAATATTTCCTTGTCCACTAGTTATAGTAGTTAATCTAGTGACGCTATAAATAAATGCATAAATAAACAAATAAATACATCTTTAAAATAAACTTACAAAAAAAGACAAAAGCATACAACAAAACTACAAAAAACTAACTATTCAAATTCAATTAAGATGAAAACTGCACATATAAAAATAAAATGTTATAATAGTATATCAATGATAATAAAACAACACTGATTGTATACCTTTAAAACAAAATAATAAAAAATATGTCAATGTTAACAGTAGGTTAAATATATATATATATATAAATTTTTTTCAGATAATATTTAATTAATTTGCTTTGGCCTGAGTATAGTGACATGATAAAAACAATAATGAATATAATAAAATAATAATCATGTATAATTATTAAACCAATTTAACCAAATACAACAATAATAATACTAATAATAATGTTATTATTGTTGTTATTACGTCTAACCTTTTCTCACAAAATATCAATGGATATTTATATTTTAAAATATTTAATATTTTAGGGGCACTTAATATTAATATTAAGACTTAATATTTGGGGGCACATAAAACCAATATGAACTGTACTTGATCAAATAACCACTTCCTGTCAATATGGCTGGTTCCTGGCCAGAAAAAGAAGTTGATCAGACTTTGTGTTCAGTCAAAGGTCTGTGCGAGACGACCTCAACAAAAACTCATCACGATACCAGAATGCATCACGAGAGGGCAGCAAAAAACACTTTGTGCTGTTATGACAAAACCTACAACGACGGCTTCTTCTTAAACCGATCCACCTTTCTGAGAAATAAAGTGCACTCAAAGTGCATGTTTTGCTGCAACTCGACACACATTGTTCATGCGACCCTGTATTATATACATCACCGTCAGCAGAATGCGAGGTAACCGATGCTGCTCTGACGACTGGCAAAACACTGGGCCAGTTAAAAGCTTTCTATTCTTCCCATGATGCATCAGTGTGGTTTAGCCCTACCTAAAGCTGGCTGGGTATTAATCAAACACAAAGCCGTACACAAATGTAGCCCAATGAATGAATGAAAGAGTATCTAATATCAAGTCTATAAACGAGACACGCTTTATCGCCATTGAATCCCACTGTAATCCAGAATGTAGCAAATTAGAAAAAAAAAAAATCTTTCTCCAAACAGTCTATTAAGCCTCTTTTTTAGGTTACATAAAGCAATACACACTTATGTAAATGTGTGACACTGTTTTGCAGGCTTTAGGCGTTAGGAAAGGCTTTATTGTAGTGTATTGTATTGAATGAACAATGGCAATACGCGTGCACTTTGACCTGCAGAATGAACAATGTTTACTACAGCACAAACAGACGGATGGAAATGGAGATGGGGGCAGCATGCAGCAAACCGCAAACACATCTACATGCTGGGGGTGAGAAACGTTGGAGAAACGTGGCCGTCAGACTTACTGTTTTCCTGTACTCTGGCCACAAAGCCTGTGAGAGGGATCTGTGGGGTGAGCTGAGGCATGGGTGGAGGAGGAGGGGCCATAGACACTGAACACCACCCGTCACAAACACAAGCACACAGCAAAGACCAGGAGGAAGGAGAGGAAAGCAGGAAGAGAGGGAGAGAGAAAGAGAAATGTCAGTCCCACATGAGAAAGGTGGGGGAATTGTAATCTTGTAGAAATAGGAATCTTATAGACATAGAAAGACTGAAAATGACGCGAATAACAGCAGCGTTTCCATAACGTCGACAACATTTCTGGTTGTTATTAATGGACTGAAAAAGGATTTTAAGGATGAATGGAAAATCTTTTTATAGAGATAAGTATTATATCACGACGAGTCATTTCTAGTGACAGTGTTTTAGTATCACTGAGATACTATTATCGTTTTTAATATTTTGAATTAGATTTTATTTTAATTTTTTAGGATTTTAATATCCAAAAAAAAAAAAAAGGTCTATATAGTTTTTACTATTTTTTTTATTTCAGCTTTAGTTTTAGTTCTGTGAAACAAAAGCAAAACCAATGTTTCACCGTGTCTACACTGGATGCGTGCGGCGCGACAAAATACTATAGAACTCATTATAATCAGTGATGCTGTCTTCACTGGATGCGACGCGACAAATCCCCGACAGAAAACTGCTGCTGCATTCTATTTATGATGTATTGACACAAATTTAAAATGATTTTCAACGGTCGCTTAATCGTGTCCAGTGTAGACAGACTTTAGCTGCTTGCGGCGTCCGGTGTAGACACGGTGTTACTCACCGATCGAGAAGAAACAAAGCAACCTCGGCGTCCGATCGCAGGCCTTCCCGCTCCTTGAGTTCTCTCCAGCGCTGGAAAGCTGATCCGATATTTACACGGGTCCTACTTCTTGCCTTATCGTAAGCCTTCTTTTGTTCCGCAGACGTTTTCCTCTTTTGTTTTTTATCCGCCATCTCTATCTTTCTGTCGCTCGGCTCGCTAATGTCCGTCCCGTGCACTGAACCCTCTCTCCTCCACATCATGAGTAGACACGCCCCTTACTGCTGATTGGCTACAAGTTTGTTTTGGTACTCAGCCCGACTGAGTTTTGTAAAGCGTTTTTGAAAAAAATACATACCCCACCTTTAACCATACTATTTTCAATTTACCATAACTAGACATTTCTTATAGAAATTGCCATTAAAGATTGTATTGATTTTCATGTTTATTTCCATTTAAAACAATTGAACTAAAATGTCCAGACAGTTTCCAGAAAAAAATACCATCTGAATAATTGAAATAAATGTGAAAACATATTTTAATAAATCATAATAATAAAAACAGTTTATTGTAATATAGTTTAAAATGTAATTTATTCCCGTGACCGCAAAAGCTTAATTTTCAGCATCATTTTAATATGCCCATTTGCTGCTTAAGAAATATTTCTTAATATTTTTGTGGGGGGGGGGAATATATAATAAATGCTTATGTAAATTTTTTTTCTTTCTTTTTCAAGATACTTTGATGAATACTTTGCATTCATTTGAAATCGAATGATTATGTAACACTATGAATACATATTTACTGTCACTTTTGATTTCTTCTGATCCTTGCTGAATTCAAAGTATCAATTGTTTTAAGAAAAAGAATCGTACTGACCTCAAACTTTTAAACATCATCAGTAATGTTTTAGTAATACTCTCTCATTCATGTCTGATGCCAATATGACGCTCATTCACTCTAATGCTTCTGGACATCTGAAAGTGAGATTTAAAATCTCAGCTTTAATGCGAAGATGACAATACATCTCCATTCATAAGCAGGTGGCCACAGGCCCGGTGCTCTCAATGCTCATAAAGCTGAGGCTTTTGTGGTCTTAATGGCATTAGTGTGTACGGCCGCACACCTGTGTGTAGAGACAGGCTGTTCCCTTCATCGCAGACAGGATGCGCCTAAAAATACCCGGGTATTATGACGCTTAGATATGGCTTTCACCTAGCCAGGGCTGAATTTAAAGGAATGAAACTCTGGCGAAGGAACTCCAGATGTGATTATATTGGCTGTGAGTTTGTACAGTGCGTGTCTGTATATTTGTGCTTCATTCTCCGTCTCTTACTTGTGATTGTGCCCCCGTTAATGTGCGGCTGCTGCAGGGAGAACTGGGAAGAGACGGATGGCGCTCGGCGGTATGTACCCGTGGCAGAAACCATGGAGACGGAGGAGGTGGTGGAGCTGTGTCGGGAGATCTGTCGAGATATCGTGCCGAACTGCGACATGGGGATGGGCCCGAGACCTGGCCCAGCAGCCACAGCTGTTCGTTCCCAGAGAAGGTAGAAAGACAAGAGAAAATCCAGATGAGAGCAGTGAAAACACAGAATTGTTGACATTTTTGCAGATTTATTAAAAAATAAAAACTGAAATATCACATGGTCCTAAGTATTCAGACTCTTTGCTGTGACACTCATATATTTAACTCAGGTGCTGTCCATTTCTTCTGATCATCCTTGAGATGGTTCTACACCTTCATTTGAGTCCAGCTGTGTTTGATTATACTGATTGGACTTGATTTGGAAAGCCACACACCTGTCTATATAAGACCTTACAGCTCACAGTGCATGTCAGAGCAAATGAGAATTATGAGGTCAAAGGAACTGCCTGAAGAGCTCAGAGACAGAATTGTGGCAAGGCACAGATCTGGCCAAGGTTACAAAAAAATTTCTGCTGCACTTAAGGTTCCCAAGAGCACAGTGGCCTCCATTCCTTAAATGGAAGACGTTTGGGATGACCAGAACCCTTCCTAGAGCTGGCCGTCCGGCCAAACTGAGCTCTCGGGGGGGAAGAGCCTTGGTGAGAGAGGTAAAGAAGAACCCAAAGATCAGTGTGGCTGAGCTCCAGAGATGCAGTTGGGAGATGGGAGAAAGTTGTAGAAAGTCAACCATCCCTGCAGCCCTCCACCAGTTGGGGCTTTATGGCAGAGTGGCCCGACGGAAGTCTCTCCTCAGTGCAAGACACATGAAAGCCCGCATGGAGTTGTGAGATGGTGAGAAATAAGATTCTCTGGTCGGATGAGGCCAAGATAGAACTTTTTGGCCTTAATTCTAAGCGGTATGTGTGGAGAAAACCAGGCACTGCTCATCACCTGTCCAATACAGTCCCAACATTGAAGCATGGTGGTGGCAGCATCATGCTGTGGGGGTGTTTTTCAGCTGCAGGGACAGGACGACTGGTTGGAATTGAGGGAAAGATGAATGCGGCCAAGTACAGGGATATCCTGGACGAAAACCTTCTCCAGAGTGCTTAGGACCTCAGACTGGGCTGAAGGTTTACCTTCCAACAAGACAATGACCCTAAGCACACAGCTAAAATAACGAAGTAGTGGCTTCACAACAACTCTGTGACTGTTCTTGATTGGCCCAGCCAGAGCCCTGACTTAAACCTAATTGAGCATCTCTGGAGAGACCTAAAAATGGCTGTCCACTAACGTTTACCATCCAACCTGACAGACCTGGAGAGGATCTGCAAGGAGGAATGGCAGAGGGTCCCCAAATCCAGGTGTGAAAAACTTGTTGCATCTTTCCCAAAAAGACTCATGGCTGTATTAGATCAAAAGGGTGCTTCTACTAAATACTGAGCAAAGGGTCTGAATACTTAGGACCATGTGATATTTCAGTTTTTCTTTTTTAATAAATCTGCAAAAATGTCAACAATTCTGAGTTTTTCTGTCAATATGGGGTGCTGTGTGTACATTAATGAGGAAAAAAATTAACTTAAATGATTTTAGCAAATGGCTGCAATATAACAAAGAGTGAAAAATTTAAGGGGGTCTGAATACATTCCGTACCCACTGTATATATGCATATATATATATATATATACTGGTAATAAAGGCAACTGCAACTTTTTTAATCACACAGTTCAGATTTATTTCTCACAATTGTAGGTACAGTATATATGTCACAGTTCTGACTTTTTCTCTCAGAACTGCGAGTTTATATCTTGCAATTCTAAATTGTAATAAAAAAGTCAGAATTGTGAGATCTAAACTTAGACTAGTCAGAAAAAAGTGTGAATTGTGAGATAAGTTGCAATTAACTGTTATATTTATTTATTTATTTAATTAATTTTTAATCCCGTGATGGAAACCAGCTTCAATATAAATATGACCTGGACATGTTTCACCAGATTCACAAAGAAAATCTGGGTGTGAGAAACCCAACCTCAGACGAAAACAACATGACCTGCAATAAAATGCACAAAGTTAGAAAAGGCCCTGAGAAATTTTGTAATATAGTCCTGTGTGTTTACACTGCCAGGGCAGATGCGATTTCCTCTATAGGGACATTTCCTGTTGACAGTGGCAGATAACAGGGAAGCCCTAGAGAGACACGCTCACCCTGACAGTGATGGCCGGAACCAAGCGAACAACAAACACAGTGGACAAACATCACTGTGGCACCAGAAGCCTTCACCAGTGACATATGATATAAACAACACAATACAAACATCTCATCCCAGCTGTGTCCTGATGGAGCCAGTGAAACCTCCTGCTCTAATCAACAGAATTATGGAATAAGATACTGATTAATACCGTATATCATCACATCAATGCACTGGATAACACAACATTGGGAAGATGCAAAGCAGAAGGATAACAGTGGATCTTTCACAAGAACCAGTAATGAGGAAGTCTCTGACTCACCAACACAAAGCTAGATTTTTGAAGGTGGTTGCTAAGGCGCTGCTATGACGATATTCTGGGTGGTTGCTAGGTGGCTGCATTATTCAAAAGAGCACACCCTAAAGTTTCTATGATATTTTGGGTTCTAGATGCAGAGTTTCTCCATGTCAAGGAATGGTCACATTAGTGATACTTTGGTGAAATTTCGCCGGCAAAGTAGGTTCATTGTCAATAGCCAGGTTTCCATCCAAAGTCGCGAATTTAACTTATATGCAAAATTGAAATTTGCGAATAAGCATCGTTTCCATCCAACGAGTCAAAGAGAACAAAATCGTCACTTCCTGGTAGAACTGGCGCTAGGCTATATATCACTATGAAAAGTATGAGAAATAATAATGATTATTCTATATATTAATATATATAATAATGATATAATAATTTTCATAGGCGTATATAATAAATTACTTGCGCCTCAGAGTGAAAACTAAATAAATGCGGTCATTGCTTTTGGAGGTGGATGCTGCTGTTTGGGAACACAGTCGTGTAACAGTTCTGGAAGGCAATTATACAGAAATATGTTGATGACAGACTTTGCTCGGACATTTGCTGGTCAAAATGACCATAATATTTCAGATGCTGAGGAACGAGATTGGTCCACTGGTTAGGTTTTGCCCTCCCATAGCGCAGTCACATGACTTTTTAGATGCGCATGGAGGAATTTACTTGGCATCTCCTTTTATTCGCATTAACCCTTTTTCGCACAAGTCAAAAACCACCTCAAACGAGCGTAAAAACTTTTTTTGCGAATTAAGGGATTTTTATTCGAAATTTGCCGTTTCCATCACTCGTTTCTGATGCGATACTTCAAAATGTGCATAAAAACAGGGTGATGGAAACAGCTATTAGTGTAGCGATGCATGAAGCACCACTTCTCAGAAGTCACTTCCAAAACAAGAAGCTTTGCAAATGGAAGATTGTTTCCGCCACTGAAAAAAAATTAAAAAGGTAATTGCAACTTTTTATCTCACAATTCTTTTTTTTTTCAGAATTGTGAGATATAAACTCATAATTGCGAAGTTATAAAGTCAGAATCATGTGATATAAAGTTGCAATTGCGTGTTATAAAGTTAGAATAAACTTTATTAAACTCGCAAATGTAAGAAAATAGTATTTTTTTCCTTCTGTATTGGACTTTTAAACTCACAATTGCGAGTTTATATCACACAGTTCACACAGAAAAAGACTCAGAATTGCGAGATGTAAACAGTGGAGGAAACGGGCTTGCATACTTGCATTAGTAAATCCAGTTTATATATATTAGTAAATTAATTTGTTTTTTTAAAGTGCAAAAAACCCGAATCCAAAGCGAAATCTGCATGGGATTTTTCACCTCAAGTGAAATGACCAATTGCGCAGATTCCGATTGATGATGTTTTTGCCTGCAGAATTCACAAACAAAAATACAAAAGTCAATGTGACCGCAAGTTAAAGGCCCATTTCCATACTCTCTTTATTAATTATGAGAAAAACATCCAGGAAGGTCAGAGACTTCTCCACAGTGCATTGATTTAAACTGAAGCAGCACAAACCCACCACCCAAAATAACAATCACCACCACCACCACCAATCCCCCAATCTTAACAATTCTGTGACCCATGCTGAAGCCCCACAGGCACACAGGTGAACAGGCAGGACGGGAATGCTGGTGTTGTCCGGGACTGACTTTGCACAGGTGCCGACGGGATTGGGGGAGGGGCTCACCTATAGCAGCGGCTGGCATTGGTGGGCCCTGGCCGGGGAGGGGGGGTGGAGGAGGGGGGGCTGCCCATGAGGGTGTGACTGCAGGTCAGAATCGGCATATAAGAGAAAACACATCTTGAGGACGATTCATTCATTAATATTGCACAGAAATTTAAGCGGAGTTCCAAAACCCAGTGAGTCTACATTGGCAGCTACCTTCTAAGGCTGCATCCTAACCATTCTGTAACCTGTAGATGACTGATTGGAAACTTTCTACATGGGAAGCAATAAGTGAAGTACAAGGGAGACTCGACTGACAATTGACTAAAATAAGTTGTGTCCCAAATAACACACTATACACTTATTCTATGCACTATGCACTCCACCATCTAGCGTATGAATTATATAAGATTATTTTGTCATCCGTCATCAGAGTATGATAGACCCCCAGATCGTGTTGTTAGCTTAGCAACATGCTAACATCAAACTCTACAGGTGTGTCTCAATTTGTGTACTTATGCACTATTCTATGCCATCTTTTTGTATATAATGTAGTATAATAGTGTGAGTGTGTATATTGTGTAATAGTGTGTGAACACTATTTTCAAGGTAAATAAAAGCTTAAAAAATAAAATCGAGCATTACTGATGCATTTTATTGTTGTAGAATAAAAAGTGAAAACATCCTGAGCTTGTGTTGTTAACCACAGACCTTATTTCAGGCAATAAACCAAAAACACATTCTTCGAAAAAATGCTAACTTGTTTTCAGTACTAATTCTAATAGCTTGACTTCAGCCTGTTGCGAAGCTAACAACACTATTGCTGCGACCCAGTTTGCAAAATACTCATCCTAAATAGCATTCATAATTAGAATTAGTTTGTCCCAATTCATTCTATGTTGAAATTAGCATGACAAAGGTACCCAGATAGACTACTATTTCTCTTGGAAATTCGAAGTGCAGATCCATGCACACTCTAACGCCTAATACTGCCCACAACCCACTGCACTTTGGATGAGGATTTGGTTCAGAACTAAAAACAAACAAAAAATACTCAAAACTACAAACATGGCAGATGCACAGCCTTGACATTTAATGGGATAGTTCACCCAAAAATGAAAATTCTGTCATTAATTACACACCCTCATGTTGTTCTAAACACGTAATACCTTCATTCCTCTTTGGAACACAAATTAAGATATTTTTGATGAAATCCAAAAACTTTCTGACCCCGCATAGACCGCAACAGAACTGACACATTCAAAGCCCAGAAAGGTAGTAAGGACATCGTTAAATAGTCCATGTGACATCAGTGGTTCAACCGTAATGTCGTGAAGCTACAAGAATACTTTTTTTGCACAAAGAAAACAAAAATAACGACTTTATTCAACAATCACATTAACTATTTTAACAATGTCCTTAATACGTTTCTGGGCCTTGAACATGGTAGTTGCGTTGCTGTCTATGCAGAGTCAGAAAGCTCTTGGATTTCATCATACATATCTTAATTTGTGTTCCAAAGATGAACGAAGGCCTTAGCGGTTTGGAACAACATGAGTACTTAATGACATAATTTTTTTGGGGGGGGTGAATTATCCATTTAAGTAGACAAATTTAGATAAAGGGGTTCAAGAGATTAATAATCAATATCTAACCTTACAAAAATATTTAATCTGGAACAACACTGTGACCTTTTATAAAGATATGTTTAACTCTTAATTGCATTATTATTCAAAAACATGAGGGGAGTTCTCTGAATCATATACAGCAAGTACATTTATAATCAACATTTCCCTCAACTCTGTCTACCATCTTGAGTGAATTGTTGAGCTTGCAATCCAATTATCTTCACCACAAAAGGTACAACTGATGCCGCCTAAAGCAAACAGAACTAGCAAAGAATTTCACTTTTTGCATTTTAGAAGGCCAAATTTCTATGAAAATATTTGCATATTGGAATGCTCAGGTAAGATGTAAAATTAGAAGAGCCTTCTCTGTGTGCACTCTTGACTTCACCACTTCTTATGCACTAAGATGAATAGCCAATTAGAGTGATCTCTCTCACCGACTGCCCGATGCCAATTCAACATGCTCAATTGGCCAAAAATCCATAAACGGGGTCCAACAAACTGCAAAAACTGAGCTGGCTGGCTGACTGTCGGCTTGGTGTGTAATGGCCTTAATGAGAGCTAAAATTAGATATCTGAGCACAAACTTTTGGAATAGTCTTTGCAGTGGAAGTGTTTTGAAGATGCCTTAAAATGTTGCCTAGGTAGGTAGCTCACTAGGTTTTGGATGCCAAAACAGTCCTTCATCAAAGCCTGGAAAAAATTTTTTTTTGAGAAAATGGTTTCGTTTTAATATATGAACACACAAACAGAAATGATAGGGGTACAAGGACAGAGACGCTGCATTCAAAGGTCCAGTCAACATTAAATGACATTAATCCAGGAAAAGGAAATCAGTGGTGCTGATGCAGTGTTGCTATGGCGACTGTAAGGATTCAGGAGGGAGGGGGGTTCTGTTCCTCTTGGCTCCAGCAGGTATCTCAGAGAAGAACAGGACAGTGACCTCTTTTCTTATTAAACGTCATTCTCTTTTTTTTGTTCTCTGCAGGCAGACCACCCTTTAGAGTTTCCCCACTTCCTCTCTATTTCTACCTGTCCTTGTGCAGTGTAGTGGCCTACTTTAACAAACCTTTAGCTGGAAAAATCAGGCCATGAAAGCTGTAGGCATACAGTGAACAGTTAATCCTGCTCCATTTCTCACTCTGGAGAACAGGATATACTGCACATGTGGGGAGTTTGTCTAATTCTCAAGTTAGCCCTAACCTGTAGGATACTGTGCTTCAGATAGTGTGCTTTTGCAGCAGCTGTATATGTGGGCTGCAGCTCACCTGGAACTGAGTTGGGAATGGAGGGAGTCGGCACGGCGATGGGAATGCCAATACTGCTGCTGCCGCCACTGTTCTCTCGACTGCCGCTGCCCCCGCTGCTGCCACTACAGAGAAAGAAAGGAAGTTATTAGCATCCTATAGTACGTATCATACTATTTATGATGTATGCAGTATGCATACTCTGTGCAGTATGTAGATTTTCCACACATGGAAAACTCATCTGACTTACTATGTTTACCAAAACAGAGAATGCTGTATCCCAAATGAAATTTGACTTCCAATGCGACAGCAATATTGAGTAAATTCTCAGCTAATTTGATAGGAATGCCAGAAGATACCACATTAATACACACACACACACACACACACACACACAAAAAATGCAAAATATCCAACTCAGAGCAGATGCAGTTCATGCAAAGCAGCATTTATTGTGAACAGAGCTGCTATGAGACACTGAAAACACTGGATCATGAGCTGTCAGTGTGTAAACGAACACAGCGCTGTGCTTCACTCTGAAACATGCTAAATATATTAAGTTTATTAAATCACAGCCTGTGTTTTGATAATTGCTCTAAGCCATATCGCAATGTTGGTTTTATTTTGATTAACTCTGCAGTGCTACACATGTCCAATATTGCTTGATGCCACAATGAGATCATGATAAAGCATACTACTCTTTGAAACATTCATCATTACATTATACATACTGTTTAACACATCACTTTAAGAAAAAAACAGCAAGCAGTACATAGTATTTAGTGAAGTAGTCAGTAAGTAGAAAGCTATTATTCCGTTCTGAATATCACAGGCTTATATGTTAAAGTGACCTAGATATTCACTGTCTTTGAGACATATGGTACTACTATATCCATATATGGTTATGCATACGTTCAACACAGATCAATTCATGGATTATTCAACAACGTGGCGCTATGAGCATCATTGTTACACCCCCACATAGGCACAGCTTTAGAAATCAGCCCTGATCCTCTGTGTCTGCTGTGTGTCCATGCAGCTCCACAGTTCCACAGAAAGGGAGTCCCACGCTGCACTGCAACAGATCTAATTTTTGTACCACTGAGTCTTTTTCACTTCATTGTCTGAACTGAATCGGTGTCTGAATCGAGTGAATGATCTGATTTTAATTAGAGATGAGCAAAACTACATGTACTACTACTTTTCAAAACTAGCTAGTCTGTGGGTTGTCTGAAAGACTGATTAACCTTTTTTTTTTTTTAAACATATGCATGTAAATAGCAGAGACTATGGGCCAGATTTACTAACAGCTTGCGCTAGCGCAAACCGTCTTTTGGCATTAAAATAGTACTGTCAGGATTTACTGAAGACGCGCAGTGAAGAATTAGTGCTGAAAAGGCGTGGACATAGTTAAAACTTTCAGATGTGGTTTTAAAATCTGATACGTACATGATATCTGGTCATCTGACCTACTCATATCTTATTCTTCTTTTCCATTTTATGTTATTTTATTTTTTTTATAAATTTTTTTCAGTTTTACACTTTAAAAATATTTAATGCAATTAATGCAGGGGCGGAGCTAGGGACAGCCACCCCATTTACAACTGTTGCTTGTCTCTTTTTTTTCTTGACAAGAATTGTGTTTATTTAGACAGAACGTCTTTATGACCACATCAAATGGGAGACTTTTCAGACACACACTCCAACTTCACCTCAGCGCCAGGTGCTAGTCAAACGAACACGGAAAAGGTACAGCTGATGAGCGAGCTTCAGTAGAACAACAGTGAACTGTGGTCAGATGAGATGTTGTCAGGCCATATGTCAGTAAAAAAGAATTTTCCTATCAGCCTTTATCCTGTGCTCGTAGCATATACTCTTGAATTGCACGCACAAATGCAGTGGCGCACGCGGTATTATATTAAAGCACTGTATCATATCAAAACGCAAATGAAACTATGAGCAATAGCTAAGGCATGAAGTTACCAAAAAGGCAATTAATGCTGCCTTAAAGGGGTTATATGATGCACTTTCAAGTTTTCCTTTCTCTTTGGAGTGTTACAAGCTGTTCGTGAATAGATAAGATCCCTAAAGTTGCAAAGACTAAAGTCTCAAACCCAAAGAGATATTTTTTATAAAAGTTAAGACTCGTCCACGCCCTCCTAAAATGCCTCGTTCAAACATGCCCCCTGCATGCATGCAAGTATTTGATATGAGTCACATTTAAGAACATGTCTCTGAAATGCAGTGGTTTTCAAAACTGTCCTGGATGTCTCCCTCATGTAACACCCGATTCAACTCGTCAGCTCATTAGTAGACACTTTAATACCTGAAGTAGGTCAGAAAAGGTAAAGAGAGTTGTGAGAAAATACGATGCAAGTCAGATCTGCATCATGTTCAGCAGCGCCGCTCTTAAAGCAGCCAAAATAACCTAATTGGAGTAGACGTTGGGAGGAGCCAGGAAGAGGAGGAGCCAGGTGGAGATCCAGAGGCCAGCCAGGACGGTGGCATCACTGGAGGGAGGAGCCATGAAGGAGTTAGGGGTGGCAACACCAGGGGGCTGACTGACGGAGACAGAGCTGGTGGAAGAGGAGCTCAGGATGGAGGCGGAGAGCCACAGAGCCAGGGTGATGCCGAGGATCCGGAGGGCCAAGGAGGAGCTGATGGCTCAGACGACCAAGGTGAAGGAGGGAATCCGGAAGACTGCAGTGATGCCAGAGCGACAGAGGACAACGGTTGAGCCAGAGGGAAGGAGGAGCCAGAGGGATGAAGGGAAGGCAAAGCCGGAGGAGTGGAATCCCGTGGCGGAGGAAGGTCAATGACTGACCAAGGAGAAGCCGGAAGGACGAGGGAGACCAGTGGAGCCAGTAGGATGACAGGCCATGGTGGAGACAAGGGAGCCAGGAGCCAAGGCGGAGCCAATGGGTCTGAGGGCCAAGGTGGAGTCCGGGTCTCGGAGGCTGGAAGAGGAGACAGGGGATCCTCCGACCCCGAGGTAGCTGGCAACTGGAGATCCCGAAACTCATCGGACTCATCGTTTATGGCATGCTGAAGGTGAGCTGAGGTATCTTCAGGGGCCAGCAGAGAAAAGGCCGATGGACTGGCTGGCAGAGACGGAGGAGGAGGGAATGGGAGGCTGAGCGGGACCCTCCTCGAGGCTGGAGATGAGGAGTTGTCCGACGAAGGAGAGCTGGGCGGAACCAGCAGAGATTCAGGAGACGAAGGAGAGCTGGACGGAACCAGCAGAGATTCAGGAGATGAAGGAGAGCTGGGCGGGACCAGTGGAGATTCAGGACCAGCAGAGATTCAGGAGACGAAGGAGAGCTGGGTGGGACCAGCAGGGACGGGAGAATCCTCCTCATTTAAACAGTCTAATATTTCAGCTCACCCTAAGCGTTTCGTCAAGCTTGGGCTCTGGGGCGATGTTTGGCTCTGTCGCATCCATTAGCGCAGGCAGGTTGATCGTGGCAGGTGCAGGCTCTCTGTTCGCGGTGGGCTCTGGTGTACTATCCACGTAGCGGAGTGAAGGCTGGTTGGGCTCGGGGTCAGGAGTGGGGCTGGTGAAGTCCTCCTCGGCGGGGCAGACAGTGAATAGTGATCCACTATTCACCAGAACCCACTCCACTTCTTTGGACCGCTCGCTGACATGCATGCCTTACACTGCTCGCTCAGGCTGGTATAGTAAAAGACGCAAAGTGAGCGGTCAGGGAAGTGAGTAAGGTACGCCAGATCTAAAAAGTCTCTGGTGTGGTTCTCCAGCAAACGGTCCTGCTGCTCCAGGCAAAGGAGCTGGACGTCTGGCCGATCCATCTGGGAGGGAGAGGAACGAAACAAAAAAGAAATGCCGCAGTAAACTACTCATCTAGAGGGTCTGGTATTCTGTCACAGGATTGTCACAACAATATATAACGTGCACGACGAAAGAGTAGGATGGAGAATTCCTTTTAAAATAAATCCACAGGGAAAGGGAACAACAATAATCCAACAGCAAATAATCCACAAAAGACAATAGCAGACAAAGGAACAGAGGAGAGCACAGGGCTTAAATACTAGGTAGAACGCAAACAGGGAGATTTTTAGCAGGCATTACTCCAGTCTTCAGTGTCACATGATCATTCAGAAAGAATTCTAATATGCTGATTTGGTGCTCAAGAAACATTTCCTATTATTATCAATGTTGAATGCATTGATAAAAATGTATATTTTATATTTTTATGAAAATCTTAACATTTCCAAACAATTTTAAGGATTCTTTGATGGATAGAAAGTTCAAAGTCACATGTTTTTCCATTTAACTGTGCTACTTTTACATTGCGTTTCTTCATAAACACACACTAAACTCAAGTTCAACTTCACAAAAAAAATACTAAT